TATCGCTTGTTTCCGTGGTAGTGATGCCTATAGCGTCATCAATGTATCACTTGTTTCCATGGTAGTGATCCCATTTTTCTAACTCCACTTTTAGCCTAATTTTGTGCTCTTTAAAATCTTGCATTAATGATATTACAATTTTTTTTAACCGTGATTATGACACCACACAGAATGATATGAGACGCACGAGAATAAGATAACGAGAGAATTCATCTTAAAAAATATGGGACATATATAGTAAAGTTTTTAAAATGGTATTAAGAAGAATAAGAGGAGCAGTTCAAGAGGAAAGACAAAAATTATGTTAGAGAGAGATATAGAAAATGAGAGATGGAGGAGAGAGAGCGAGAAAAGGAGAGAGAGAGAGAGTGGAGGAGGAGATGGGTGGGAGAGAGAGAAGGGGAGAGAGATGGAACATGGGTGTGAGAGAGAGGAGATGATTGCTAGAGAGAGAGAGTGAGATAGACAAAAATATACAGATGGCACTAAAAAATCGAGATTGCACTAAAATATAGAGATGTCACTAAAATATAGAGATGGCACTAAAATATAGAGATGGCACTAAAATATAGAGATGGCACTAAAATATAGAGATGGCACTAAAAAATCGAGATTGCACTAAAATATAGAGATGTCACTAAAATATAGAGATGGCACTAAAATATAGAGATGGCACTAAAATATAGAGATGGCACTAAAATATTGAGATGGCACTAAAAAATCGAGATTGCACTAAAATATAGAGATGGCACTAAAATATAGAGATGGCACTAAAATATAGAGATGGCACTAAAATATAGAGATGGCACTAAAATATAGAGATGGCACTAAAATATAGAGATGGCACTAAAATATAGATACGGCACTAAAATATAGAGATGGCACTAAAATATAGAGATGGCACTAAAATATAGAGATGGCAGTTAAAAAAAAGGACAAGTTTTAGATAAAATAGTTGTCTACTTTTTGTTATCTTAATGAACGTAAGGTAGGCATTTTAACTTGGACGATTTCATGGTTGTCATCTAGACAATGGCTTACCTCCACCCCCACGCTCTGCCCCACGCTCTGCCCCACGCTCGACCCACCGCTCCACCCACACGCTTCTGTCTCACGATCCACTACAACCCTCCACCCTCTGGAGGTCAGAATTGACAATGACCAAAATATAAAAAGTATATAGGCCAAAATATAACATGTTACAAATAGCCATGTGCAGAGTAAGACCTTATGCCTAACATGCTTATCATCCCGTGTCAGTGTAAACATGTATGTCATATTTTTATGTCTTCTTTGTTCTAATCTTGTTCATCTAAGTTTTGGGGTCGACAGGGTTGGTTTGTTTGTCTGGGTTCTCTGGCTTTTGGGATGTCGATTTGTCTGGATATCGGGTTGTCTTGCTGTCTGGGTTTCAGGTGACATATACTCTCATGGCATGGACTAATCGAAATGACAGATACTCTCATGGCATTGACTTAACGAAAAGACAGATACTCTCAAAGCGTAATCCTGTTGAAATGACAGATACTCTCAAGACGCAAAATTGTTGAAATGACAGATACTCTCAAGGCGTACACTCGTTGAAATGACACATACTCTCCAAGAAAAATCCTAGACCCTTCAATGGAATCATTCTTCTTCTTAAATTAATATTGCCACCATCGTATAACGATCAACGTTATGAAGAGAATATTGAAATAAACGAAAGCTTTATTGACATCCAAATATGTTTTACGGTACCAGTAGGCCATAAATGATACAAGTTTTAACTGGCCACGAAACCCACCCGTAAAAATAACCAGGCCACGGGTTTATTTATTTAAATGCTAAAATAACATAATCATTTTTTTTTTTTTTTTTTTTTTAATTTTGTTTAAATTTTTTTTT